AGTGGTGACGAACCTTTTAAAGCTTTCAATGATACAAATAGTCCACTGTGGCACGAGTGCCATAGGTTCGACACCCCTGCCCTAAAACTAAACCAAAAGGACACAAAGAAACTTGGGGCGATGTTGGATACTGTCTGTTCCCATGATTGGGTAATCAGACTGTTTGAGACAGGGTCTTGCTATGTAGTTCAGGCTGCCCTTGAACTCCCCATGTAGCCCAAGCTGGGCTCAAAATCATGGTGATCCTCCTGCCTCAGCCTCGTGAGTGCTGAGATTATAGGCGGCCAGATCAGACTGTTTTCATACATCCAAGCTCATCCAATTGTACATGTTAATTTTGCAGTTTTTGAATAGCTGTTATACCTCATTAAAGCTGTTCAGAAGGGGTACATGAGTGTGCTGAGGGAGGTAGGGGACGGAGGAGGGTGCAGAGGGCATGGAGGGGAGAACCCAGGAGCCTTTGAGAGATCTTGGTTGCTCGGTTTTCTGATTCCTGTAAGGTGATGGTGGTGAACCTATGGCATGTGTGCAGCAGCAGGCTGTTTATATCATTGAAAGCTCTAAAAGGTTCGCCATCATGGCTATAAGGTAATACATTTATCCTGGGAAGGCTACCTGGCTAGCCAGCCCCTAAGGACCCACACAAAAGCTCCCAGCTTGGTATCTCCAGATAAGAGGTCTGCCCAGGGTGGCCTCAAACTCCTAGACACAAATGATCTTCCTGCCTCAGCCTCCTGAACAAATAAGAGATTTTGTAGGGGAACTGGGACTGTGACAGACGGGAGGCCATTGGGCAAAGGTAACCTCTGCATTCACTCCAGATCAACAACCAGATCCCGGAAGGTGAGCCCTGGGAAATCTTTCCCAGCAGAGAAGATCCTGGTGGTCCTGGGAGCCGGGAGAGCGGTGCTGACCCTGGGATGGGACTGGTGGGACTCAGAGTGTCCCGAAACCCTGTGCCTGCCAGCTGCTGCTTCCATTGGTGAAGCATGGGGTTGACAGTGTGGACTCTGGCGCCACGCAGCTTGGGTGCAAGTCCAGCCATGTCCCTAGCGTCCTTGGGCAAGCTCCTCCATTCCCCAGTGTCCCCATCTATAGAACGGGAACTAAAATGGTAGCTCATAACTATGAGGATTAAATGGGTTCATGGGGCAGTAGCCTCCCTGTCCCCTTCTCTCTGCCCCGTTTTCCTACAGAAGCATCCCAAGAGCTCATTACTTGTCCCAACCCATGTCTTTCTCTTTTCGGCCCCTCTTGGGTTGTGGGCCGCCTGTGCAGCTGCTACTCTTGCAGTGGCCACTCTGGGACATGTGGTCTCTGGAGGCTGCCCAGGCCCCTGCTCTCGCCGATGCTGGAAGCCCCTGGAGGGCAGAGAGTGTCCCAGGGTGTCCCCAGGAGCAAACCACGTCTCTGTCCAGCGAGGGACTCCCAGGAGACCGCGGGTCCCCATTCCACCCTTGGCTGTCCCTGCCTCCTGCTCTGAGTGCAGCTCAACCCTGGCTGGACCCCGAGTCTCCTTGGCCATCAGTTCTGCCATTCGGGCTCCACTCCATCCACCACCACTCTTCCCCAGTCCAGATTTCCTGGTCAGCAGATGATCCATGTAGTGACCCCAGAAAGAGACTGGCACAGTGCCTGCTCATGTCCTACAAACCCTAGTGACCAGGGCTGCTATGACAATGCCAGCTCCTCTTGACACTCTGTTCCCCTGTCCCTAGTGCTGCTGGCTAAGGACAGGTGGGGACCTGCTCCTCCCGGGCCTGAGCTTCCCCTGCGCCCCGTGGACAGGTGCTGGTGTTTGCCCATCCTGCGGTGGGAGGCTGGGACATGGCAGTGTGGCCAAGCTGTTAGGCACAACCTGCTAGTTGAGATTTGTTATCCATGGGCCCAGAGACCCTGCACCAAGCCTGACAATGGGGTCTGGCTGAGCCCTGCACCGGGACCAGCCTTCTGATCCGAGAACACACTGAAGCTTACACTTGGTACCGGTCTTCCAGCACGAGATCAAGCGGGACCACCCGCACCAACTATCAAAGAAGACAGGATGGCAGCAGGCGACTTTGCCACCCTCTTGTTCTGGCGGTGGTCTGTTCTGTTTATAGGCTGCATCTCCTCTTTTCAAAGCATCCTTTTCTCCCTCTGTTATAGTTTGGGTCTAGATGTCCCCCTAAAGCCTCATGCAGTCATAAGATGGCTGAATCTGGAGTGTGTGATGCTGGGATTAAGGGCGTGTGATTACTAAGCCAGTACACTGATTGGTTTGGCACTGCCCATAGTCTGAATAAAAGAGTCAGAAAGACGATGTTAAGTTTTCCTTGTTGCTTTTGCTACTGTGGGCACCATGAACTCTTTTGTTCAGGTTTTTGTTTTGTTTTGTTTTGTTTTTATTTTTTGGTACTGGGGATCGAACTCGGGACCTTGCACTTGTGAAGCAGAGGAGAAAGTAACTAACACACCCTCCCTACTTCTTTTGTGCTTCTTCTCCTTTTTCTTATTTCTGTCCTAAAATAAACAGTAATCTTTCATAACCACCAATTGTCCTGACCAATTCATTGATCAGGACTAGAAATCCTTGGGGCTCATCCCTACCTGTCCAATGAGTCCTGGCTCTTCCTGGTCCCATTCCCAACTTCCCTTCCTTTTCTCCTTTTGACTTTTCTCCCTCCTTTCCCTCTCATTCGCTCCCGTTGTCCATTCAGAGTAGGCTGTGGTCCTTTCTCATCTGTACCTCAGGAATCTTTGGTGCTTCCAGGAGCCTGGGCTTGGCAAACCTAGCATCATCAGAACTGATGCCCCATACACACGGGGTTGGCTCAAGTAACATCCAAGTTGGCAGTTTTTGTTTTTCTGAGACAGAGTATTGCTGGGCAGTTCAGGCTGGCCTTGAACTATGTGGCCCAGATTGGCCTTCAACTCGAAGTGATCCTCCTGCCTCAGCCTCCCAAGTGCTGGGATTACAGGCGTGTTCCACATGCCTGGCAGATTGGCAATTTTTATCCATTTGCTCAAGAAATGTTTACTGAAGAAAGGCCGACTATGTTCTCAGCCTTGGGTTTAGGTCTGGGGGTTACTGAGATAAATAAGACAGATATTATCCCTATTCTGACGAAGAGGTGTGGGGAGAGAAAAGAATAAATAAAAGCCGGGTGTGGTGGTGCATGACTATAATCCCAACACTGTGGAAGGTTGAGACAGGAGGACTGCAAGTTCGTCCACCTGGGCAACTTTTGAGACCTTGACTAAAATAATAATAATAATAATAAAAAGGGTTAGGTATGCAGCACAGTGCAAAGGCCCTGGGTTCAATCCCCAGTACCACCCCCACCCCCCCCAAGAAAAATAAAAGAAAAAGAAGAAAGAAAGACAAAACATACAAGATTACTAGGTGATAAACACCAGGAAGAAGAGCAGAGTCCTGTGGGAGAAGTTGGCTGGGACTGTTGGACAGGCTCATGGAGCAGAGTCTGGAGCAGAGACCTAGATGTCCAGATTCCATCTGAGCCCCGGGCAGGGTTCTCCACAGACCATGAAATTTCAGTCTGGTTAACGAGGGTAGAAAAAGAACATGCTGGATGCAATTTGTAATAGCTAAATCTTGGAAACAGCCCAAATGCCCATCAACAGACGAATGGATAAAGAAGATGTGGTTTTTTATACAGTGGAGTACTCGTCTGCCATAAAGGATGAGCTTCAGACATTTATAGCTAAATGAATGCAGCCCGAGACCATACTCCTAAGAGAAATAAATCAGACACACATGTTTAAATAACACATTGTTTCTCTGGTGTGAGAAACCAAAAGTGGAAATAAGGATTAAATGTATAATAGATACTGGGAAATGGGAAGAAAGAGTTCAAAATGTGAAAAGGAACAAGGGAAAGTGGAGGGGGAAAGGAAAGAAAGGACAAGAAAAAAAGTAAAACTAGAAGGAAGAAATGGAAATAAGGCTTTAGTACATAGGGAGGGGAGGAGTGCTTGAGGGGAGGGGGGAATGGGACAAGAAGAAGCAGGATGTATCATGTCATGTACAGGTGCAAATCCCCTCTGTTGAGTGTTGTCATTATGTATCTAAAATATACCAATATGGGCCGGGGATTTAGCTCAGTGGGTCCAGCGCCTGCCTCGAAAGCGCAAGGTTCCGAGTTTGATGCCCGGTACCAAAAAATAAAATAAACTATACTAATAAATGTTTTGCTAAAAAGAAAAGTGTTGGATGGTATCGGGCAGCTCAGAGATGGGCAGCACACAGGTGATGGCAAAGGGACACTGGCTGCCAGGACGTTGACCACAGTCTCGGGGCAGGAGGGTCTGGGTCGGACCCAGCCAGAGCTGCTCTGGGTCCTGGGTCCTCTGGTGCCACAGGGACCTCCAGAGCGGGCCTGGTCACTGCGTGGATGGTGAGGATGACCCCTGCCCGGCAGGCAGGCCATCAGAACTAAGCGGCTCCTTTCCCACACAGCCTGTCTTTATGAAGCCTACTTGACCTGGCCCTGGTCCCCCTGCCACCCTTGGCCCACCCTGCTGTCCCCACCCTGCCTCCGGGCCCCTGGCTGCTCCCTCCTCACCGAGCAGTGTTTTAGCTCAGGAGTCACCGCCCTGGTGGCCCCACGACCTCCCTGGGTCTGCACAGCCTCTCCTCCCCTCCCGACTCCCTTGTGCTCGTATCATTCCTGTCACCTTCTCACGTCATTACTGCATTTTGTCTGTGGATGATCTCATTGACGACTGCCAGCTGCCTGGCACCAGTGTTAACACTCCACAGCCGTCTGTGGAATGAGTGTCTGACAGCATGGCACGCTGGTCTGTGCGTGCAGTCTTGGGAGGCCTGGGTTTGAATTCTGGTCATGTCAGTGACCAGCTGTGTGATTCACACCGAGCCTGTTTCCCCATCTGTCCCTCGGCTGCCTGCCTCAGATAGGTTATCGGCAAGGTCCCAGTAGTCTCACCCTCCTTCATTCTACGCATCCCTCCGTTCTATTAAATGAGTCTCCAAAGCAATATGAGAGCAGTATGACGTTTCCATTGACTTTGGGCTATATGTCATTATAAATATTAACAAATAAGACTTATAAAGGACACCTGTGGGCAGGTCAGACAAAGTACAAAAATTGTTGTGGGGCTGCAGTTTGAGGACAGTTTCTGCAGCCGTCACATGGTAGCAAAACGGTGTTAAGCAGTGCACGAGTCTGCGTCGACGACAGCCAGAGTCCATGCATCGGGAGGTTCACTCGGTTTGAGAAGGAACAAAGGGCAGCACATGCACAGCCCGGGCTCGGTGGGCGGGCGCGCCGGTGCAGTTCCTCACTCTCGCCACTAGAGGTCAGGAGGTTACCGCCTCAGGGTTGGAAGACGGGCCCGTCGGGGATTGGCTAGTGGTGGCGGTGGGCAGGGCGGAGACCTGGGCGCCTGGTGGGGATGCACCGCACGGGGCGACCCCCCTGTTACTGACAACTGATTTTGGAATGATTTTTTTTTTTTTTGCAACAGATTTCCTGTCTTTGTTGGGCTAATGGACCAGAAGAAAGATGCCTGTTTGAGGTGAAAGGCAGAGTCGATGCTGCAGCTTTTCAAAGTGCTTTTTCTTTAACAGAGATGCAGTGTGTACCGCGCCTAGGACAGGGCCAGAACCTCAGACCGGTTATCACTTCCGGCCGGGGCGGAGCGCTCCACCTTACACTCGAGCTAGCTGGCCAGAGGCCCGGCCTCCCAGCCTGACAGTCCCTCTAATCACCAGGGACCCTTTCAGGACAGCCTGGGGCAGTAGGTCCTGGACTGGGCGCCAGGAACCCTGGTTACTTGTCCCAGTCATGCCCTTTTCCCTCGCAGCCTGTTTCCCCATGTAGCTAATAAGGACATCACACTAGATGGGGTCCATATGCCCTTCCAGTTTTGCCATTCGGCACTTTCACATATCCACAGGCTGCTGAGGCCCCTGTCAAAATGAAGCATTCAGCAAGGCAAACTGGAGATGATACCTGGAGCTCACCCAGACACCGGGCCCCTTAAAAATGTTACCTGCCACCATGGCCCCAAGGGCTTTCCATTCCAGCTGGAGCACCAACTGAGAGAGGACCTTGATTAGTCCTGATGCCCAATCAAAAGGCCTGTGTCTGAGTCTCAAGTCACCTCCTACCCAGTTGTGTAACTTTGGCAAACTACTCAGTCTCTCTGAGCCTCATAGGGGAGGATGCTCTACTCTCCTCACAGGGTTAGGGTTGTGATGATTCATGAAGGCATTGCCTGTCAATTTCATGACGCAAGGCAAAGACTGCCGTAAGTTGAGGAAACCAAGTTTCTGTGAGCAACAAGGGAGGCTGGGTACTGCAAGGGGCTGCAGTTGTTCACTGCCAACTGAAAAGGGCTGATGGGCACTTGGGATCTGAACCAACACCTCTGGCCTTGGGTGGTGGTGCGCCTTGTGCTTGCAGCTGAAGGTTCAGCCCTCATGCCTGTGAGCCTAGTGTAGGGTAGGAGTGGAACTCCCAGCGCATGGGCCCGCACCCCATTGCCCCTGCAGTGTAGTGTCCAGCGCTCTGGCCTGGGGTGGGGGCCATGGATCCTGTCCCAGCTGTGCTAGGGCTGGGGGCAGGTCACCTTCCCTCTTGGCCTGTGTCCTCTCACACAACAAAGGGTTGAACATGGTGGGGCTCAGCAGCAGTTTTGAAACACCTTAGTTCTGCATTTGTTCAGCCACAGCTCCAGAAGGCTTCTTCATGCCTGAACCCCAAGACTGAGATGCTCTCAGCTCCTTCCTGGGGAGAAAGACTGGCAAGGCCTCTCAGCTCCTGGCTGTCCCAGAAACCAGGCCCTGGACTGCCACTGAACGCTCCTGAAAGGGACATCAGATCATACCACAAACAGGGCCAGGATGCTACAGGGAACCCTGAGGGCCTTGACTATCCTGCTTGAACCCAGAGGGGCTGGGGAAGGGAAGGGGTGCAGGAGGAATGTTTGCTTCTTTTCATGCCAGAGGTGCCCTTTTCTCTTCCCCATTGCAGCTGATGAACACTTAGGGTTTCCAGAGCCAGGAGCAGTCTGAGGAATGAACCTGACCCTGCGCCACCATCAGCTTCCCCATCTGCTACAAGCCCAGCCCCTGCCTAACAAATCTAAAAAACACCCACCTGGGCCCCAGCCCCTCTCCCCTCCCCCAGGATTTTACAGACCACTCCCAGTGCCTAGGTTGTTCTTCCAGCTCTGCCTAGAGACCTCTCACCATTTAAGTCCTTCTGAGGCACCTACTCCTTCCAGAAGCCTTCCCTGCCTGCCCATCACTGCAGGCACAAGGCTAGCTTGGCCTTCCTCAGTCCTGGTTTGCATCCGGCTCCCGGGCTACAAGTCAAGAGCTCACCCACTGGAGGGGCTTGAGTGAAGCCCTCACCCTGCGGCTTTCAGGAACTGCAGACTCAGCTCACAGCCTCTTTCCACCTGCCCAGCCATGCCAGAGAGGAATGGATGTGGTCGGAAGCTCCTTTGGCTCCCCTGTCCAAGTCCCGTTCTCCACTGCCCACAGTCTCCCTCATTTGCTCTCTCTGGCGCCAACCTGAGCACCCCGGCTGTCTGTACTCTGCCCTGCTGACTTCTAGAAGGCCCTTCCCACTGGGTGGCCAGGGCCTTCTCCTCCCACCGCCTGCCCCTTGCACCCTAGGAGGTGGAGAGCAGGCCGAGCACTCTGCCCTCCCATGTCCTTCGGAGAGCCTGGGTGCTGTGTCCACCAAATGGGGTTGCAGTGGCTCTGTGTCCGAGCGGGTATCTTGGATCTTTCCCAGCATGGGGGCCACAGCCCTTGGTGACAGCTGAGGAAGCCAGGCCAGGCCTGTTCGGGCCCAGGGGCCTGGGCAGTGGCAGCAGGCGGGCAGTCAGTCGCTGAGCGCGGCCCCTGGGAGCTCATTGGTGAGTGTGTGCCAGCGCTCAATCCGCTTGTCCTTGTTTTTCAGGCAGTCAAACCAGTGCTTCAGGCGCTCACCCTTGGCGTTGATGCCCAGAACCACGCCACCTGCAGGAGGGGCAGCAGGGATTCAGTGCCTGCCGGACCCCTGGGACTGGGCTCCTCTCAGATTCTGTGCTCTGACACCAGACTCTCACTGCCCCCCAGGCTGTGAATGTGGACAGTATCTGACCTCCATCCTCGCTCCTGCCCCCCTGGCCCAGGGCCCAGGGGTCCTGCCCTTCTTCTCCCGGGGCCCACTGCCCTGCTGGGCAGGGTGCAGTGGCATGAATTAGGGGCTGAGGAACAGGGGCCAGGAAGGGAGGGGGCAAGGCAGCCCCACTGTACACGGCTATTGTACCCACCAGGAACTCAGGGCCACATGGGCTCAGAGTCCAGCCCCGAGTGCTGGCCACCAGTGTCTTCATCATCCCAGCTCCCTGACAGACTGCCGTTTGGGCCTCCCAGGCCTCTCACCCACTCTGGACCTGTCTACTGTCACAGAGGGAAGGCTGAATGATGTTTGAGCCTCCCTTACATTTCCTCCAAGGCCATCACGGACGACCTGTGCCTCACCCTGGGGCACTGCTGTTGGCCACACCCAGGTCAGGGACACAACTAAAGTGTATTCCCAGTGTGCCCTCTTACCGATGAAATCATTGGATTTCCCAATGTCATAATCCCAAACGGTGACCTCCAGGGTCTTCTTGGCCAAGTCCCCATGTTTAATCTCGTAACAGAACTCCTGCTGGCCAGAAGGGGAGTGTTAGAGCCAAGGCCACGTGGCCCTCAGGGGTCTGCGATGGGGTGAGGGCTGGAGGGAGAGCGAGGAGGGGCAGGGTGGGCACCCCTCCTGTCACTTCTGCCTGAGGGCCCAGGACAGGTCCCTATTCCCTCAACCCACCTGTCCCTCTGTCCCTGAAGCTGTGATCTCCACCTGCCTGTGAACCCCGTTCCTGTGACTCATGGCACAAGAATGAGTCTTTGTCATCCTTGACTTCTGAGCTGGCTGTGGTGAACTCATCCTTTTTCAGGGATAGGGTGGTAGTGGGGCCTTTGAGATCTTCTTGCCTCAGCCTCTCCTAGTGCTGGATTACAGGTGTGCACCACAACTGCTGACTTTGTCCTTTGTGAACCCCTCTCTCCTGCCGGCTTCTGGGACCCTCTAACATCAGGTGCTTCTTCCGCCTGGACACAGCTCCTCAGCTGCCTCTGGAAGCCCTGGTGAGGCTCAGGCTGTGCTCAAGAGCTCTCTGCTCATCCACCAACCCTGCTCCATGCGGGACCCCTAGATCTGTCTCCAGCTGTACCCACCCCTGGGCTGAGGACCCTGACACTCACCTGGCCTCTGCTCTTTCTGGGGCCCTAGGGCAGCATGAATCCTCACGCTGCACCTAGAGCTTCTCTCTATCTTCACATCCTGTTCCAAACCCTGTCACCACCCAAGGAGCAGGAAGTCCCCTAACACTTCCCTCTTCCCACCCTACATCCGCCATGGCCACAGTCCCAGGTAGATCCATCGAAGAGCTTCCCCGGACCCCCATCTTCGTCACTGTGGCCTGGTGGGGCCTGGCATGGCCTCAGTCCTACTTCACAGCTGGGGCCCTCCTGTCAGCAGCCCCCACAGTGACCCTTGGAAGCCCGGGGTCCTCCAGGCCCCACCCTGGGACAGACCCAGTGCCCATCACAAAGCCCCAGCAGCCCTTCATACCTCATTGAACTCTGGGTTCAGGGTTTTCTTCTTCACTGCTGTCTTATGTTTGGATTTCTTGTCCACGTCTGGCTTCAGGTATCTGGAATCATAACCAAGGGAAGGGCAGGGGATGAGGAGGAGCCTTGGGGTGTAGATGCAGCCAGCAGGGATCAACAGAGCTTCTGTCTCTGTAACAATGTTTCCATCCTGCTTTTGTCTAATTACAGGAATCCTGACACAGCCTGGTGGACAAAGGTGAGTCAGTGGCAGCAGGAGGAGAGGCCATCAGGAAGCTCCCCAGAGCTCCTCTGTGCCCCGGGGAGAGGATGTTCCTTGCTTCTGGAAGTCTAATTTTTGCAAAACTTATATTTCCCACCAGAAAAACATTTTTAGCAGAGTTGGTTCCTTGCTCAAGAGTTTTTTTAAAAATAGCAGGTTTATTGATATATAATTCACATATCATAAGATCCATCTGTCTAAACTGTAAAATCTGTTTTTTCAGTACATCATCCCCAGAGCTGTGAAACCATCATCACACCCTCCTTGGAGCTCTGAGGAAGGGAAAGGCCTTCGGGGACTAACAAGGATGCATCCCTCAGGGAGAGGGGCACCAGACAGACATTCTTCCATCTGCAGGCCTCCACCGCTTAGACCCCTTCACCCGAGGCTCACCGTGTGGGAGTGAGTTGCCTAAGGAACACCGGTGAGTCTCAGGTGTGCAGAGCCGGGTCTTTGGAAGGTGCTGGGTCAGGGTGTTAGACTCATCAGAGGATTCACTGGCAGCTGAACTCAGAGCTGAACGTGTGGTTTGAGGCGGGGTTTGCCCGGAGGCGGGGCCTGTCCCGAGGCGGACCGGAAGGTCTACTCTTCTCCTCTCTCTCTGCTTCCTGGCTGCCATGAGGGGAGCAGATCTCTTCCCCCATGTCCTTCCACCATGTTTGCTTGGAGTCAGCCGCCCATGGGCTGAATCCTCTGAAGTTAATACCCTTTAAGCTTTGAGTGTTGGTATTGTGCCCCAGTGACAGGGAAGCTGATTGATACAGTCCCCAACTCTCCTTTGCAGAACCTCTGGCCCTGTCCTTGCATAGACAAGTGTGCGACACGTGCCTCCCCTGCTGAATGTGCTCTGGGGTCAGAAGCACGTTGGTCTCACCCACCCACAGCTTCCTGGCACCCAGCCCAGTGGCTGCCCTGGGTGGGTTAGTAAACTGAGTGCCTGAGTTCCCAGAGGTGAAATGACAGCCGAGGGCGTGTCAGGGTCAAGCTTCTTGTTTCATTTACAAAACCGCCCTCCAGAAAGGCTATGTGGCTGACACACAGGGCCCCTGGCGAAGAGCTACCACTTTAAAATATTTGCTGGTATCTCACTGTTATTTTACTTTGCATTTCAGAATTGCATACATAATACTGGTTTACTATAGAAACGGGAGCGTATGTGTTGACAAAAGCTGAAGGTAGGAGAGAGATGAGGATATTTGTCCATACAAATACCTGTTTGTAGCAGCTTCATGTAACACCCAAAACTGGAAACAAGCACATGCCTTTCAGCTGGTGAGCTGATCAACAAGACTTGTGGCTTAGCCACAAGATGGAAGACTACTCAGCCCTAACAAAGGCTGACCTGTTGGTATATACAACCTCAGGGTCTGATGTGGAGACCAAGCCAGAGCAAGAGACAACACACCATCCAATATCTTTGTATGAAAATATGGAAAAAACAACACTACCAGGACAGAAAACAGGCCAGTGGGTCAGAGCCGGGGAACTTTCTGGGCTCTCTGTATCCTTTGCCCTTACATCCAACCAAGGGCTGAAAATATTTGAAAAAAAAAATTGCATCTGTACTGAGCACATACAAACGCTTCTCTTCCTTGTCATTATTCCTAATAGAGCATATAGACTATTTGTGAGCCAGGTGGGTAGCACATGCCTGTAATCCAAGCTACTCAGATGGCTGAGGCAGGAGGATTGAAAGTCTGAGGCCAGCCTGTCTCAAAAAATAAAAAGGAAAGCGAGATGTGGTGGTGCATGCCCGAGTCGGGACTAAGCCGGAAGATCAAGAGTTTGAACCCAGGGAGGGGGATGTCGCTTGGTGGTAAGAGTACTTGCCTTGAACTGGGGTTCAATCCCCAGTACTGTGAAAAATGAAAAACAAAACAACCACTTTTCCATAGCATCTATATTGTATTAGGTAGTACAAGTAATCTAGAGATGACTTAAAGTATATGGAGGATGTGCACAGGGGATGTGCAAATACTAGGCCTTTTCATGAGTGTAAGGATTTTGAGCGTGGATGGATTTTGAAATCTTCAGGGTCCTGGAACCATTTCCCTTTGGATACCAAGTATCAACTATATTTTTTATATTCAAGACTGTATGTATTGCAAGCTTCAAACAGGGAGAACTTTACTGTATGTAAGTTAACTTAACTGAAAATCGGGGGCTTAAATTCACTCAGAAATGGTGGAATTTGTGTGTGTGTGTGGTACTGGGGATTGAACCCAGAGCCCCTGCACTGAGCAGATGTTTTATAATTCTGAGACAGCATCTCTCGCTTCCTAAATTGCTAAGTTACTCAGAGTAGGTTTGAATTTGTGACCCTCTTGCCTGGGATTATAGGCTTGGGCTGCCACAGCCGGCCTGAATTCTTTTTTGGTACTGGGATCAAACTCTGGACCTTGTGCTTTTGAGGCAGGCACCAGAACCACTGAGCTAAATCCCCGGCCCTGGCCTGAATTCTTGATGATGAATTTCTCTTCCCACATTGGCCACGTTGCTATGTGTTGGTGGTGTTTCCTATGCAGCATCCTATGCTGGTTTGCCCTGGGGTGAGGAGCAGGGACAGGGGAGTCCTGCAAAGTCGGATACAATGCTCCGGAGCTCCTGTGCCCTCAGCCTGGACAACTTGCGTTCACCTGGTGACTCCTCACTGAGTCACTAGGCTGCCAAACAGACACTGGCACCAGGCCTTTGGCGATGTGCAGTGCCTCTCGGGGCCATCCTGTCACACCCCCAGGGGTTGTCCTTCCCTCTACTGCAGGGCTGTTCCCTCCCCAAGCCAGGGCTCCTGGGACCCCTCAATGCCTGTTATGGCTTGTATTTAAATGTCCCCCCAGAGCCTCATGTGAATGAGGTGGGGCTTCTTCAGAGGTGGCTGAATCTAGAGTGTGTGATGCTGGGATTAAGCGTGTGTGGTTACTAAATCAATCCACTGATTGGTTTGGCACCACCCTAATCCTGGTACCCTGGATACTATATAAGGGACAGAAAGAGGCTTGTTTTCCCTCTTATTCTTTTGCTACCTGCAGTCTGCCATGAACAGCTGCCTGTCTGCCACGCCACCCTGCCATAGAGCCAGCTGGTTATGGACTGAAACCTCTATAAACTGTGAGCTCAAGAAACCTTTCTTCCTTTAACTTTGGGTGTCTAGTATTTTGTCTCAACAATGAGAGAAAAGTAACTAAGACAGTGGCCTTCTGGGCAAATCCCCCAGAGGCCTGCCGCATGGTTGTCAGGACCCTCCTGCTCTGGCCACCCATCAGTGCCACGTGGGGTACTCTACACAGTGATCTGATGGCCAGGGGCTCCTAGAAGAATGCCCTTGATGTTCCAGGTGCAAAGGCCAGAGCAGGAAGGAGCTGCTGAGGGTGGCACAGCAAGTTGTTTCTAGTTTCCTCAGTTTCCCCTGGTAGGAAACATCAGTAATAAAGAAGTGATTGTAGCTGGGGATTTAGTTCAGTGGTTTCGCTGCCTGGTGCACAAGCACAAGGACCCGAGTTCAATCCCCAGTACCAAAAAAAAAAAAAAAAAAAGTGATTGTATAGGCTGTACACAGTGACGGCCCTGGCACACAGTACTCACTCAAGCAACACATGGTAGCCATTATTATCATTCCATCATGCTCTGAACATCTGGGGCTGGGATTAACTTTCAGCCTGGGGAAACTGAGGCAGGTGTCACCAGGGATGAGGTTTATAAAAATGATGATGCAGACAAAAAGCTCCTTGGCATCGGCCCCCTGGCTCCTCCTTTGTTTTCTTCTGGGGTCCCAGGACTTGGTCAAGGAGACAGCCGAGGGGTGCCCCTGGTCTATGAAGGGGCCTTTCAGAGAGGGGAACCAGAGACCTGAGCAGCAGTCCCTGTCCTGGCCAGAAAGTTTTACCCAGACTGAGGGGTTTAGGTGAAGTGTGACTGTGATGCAGGAGCTGCCCAGGGATCTGCCCACCTTTGAAAGGCCAGGTGGACCTGGCTGGGGCTGGGGTGTAGGATGTGGCTACAGGGGCCCTGCAGCTCCCACACCAGCTGTCCATGGCCTAGCTTGGTGCAAGGCCTCGCTTGCCTGAGGAAGCCAGTACAAGGTGAGACCCTGGTTTCTGGGTGACCCAGTGAATGACCTGGAATTCCTGCCCACCTGCCAGGTAGGCACTGAACATGACTTAAACTGTTCACGCCATTTGGGCCTCAGATTATATTTCTGTCTGAAGGGAAATCTAGCATTACAGGGGAAGGCGAAGGCTCCCTTCTGGCCTCCGCAGTCCTGCTCCCCTCCCTCGCCAGGGACCACTACTCAAGAAGTACCCTGCATGGTAAAGAAATGCAGTGGTCTCCCAGGGGAGGTGTTCCAGGACAGCCCAGATACCGAAACCTAGGGATGCTCAAGTTCACTTATAAAATGGCTCAGTATCTGCAGATACCCCACACAATCCTCCTAGATACTATACTTTACGTTGTCTCTGGATTACTTATAATACCCAATATCCAATAGTATAAGTGCTGCTATGTAAATAGCTGTTACACTCTATTATAGAGAATAATTACAAGGGAAAAAGGTCTGTACCTGTTCAGTATAGATGGAGTTCCCCCACACCCCAAACGGTATTCCTGGCCCAGCGCTGCTGGAATCTGTGCATGTGGAGGGCTGACTATCTAGGAAACAGTGACCAGCTGTGGGCACAGTTCTGCAGTCGGCTTTCTGGCTCAGCATGCTTTGGAGAGCTGTCTATGTTAATCTGTCTAGTTCTAATTTATTCCTTTAACCATGCAGTACACCACTGTATGCATGTGCCACATCTTATGCATCTATTTTGCTGCTGAACATTTGGAGATTTCCAGTTTATTGCTATTACAATGCTGGCACACACAGCTTCCCACCTGTGCTTGAGTTTCTAGGATACAAACCTGTAAGGAAGATAATGTGGCCATCAGGTACACACATTTTCCAACTTTCCTGGAGACTGCAACTTTCTCTCCGGTGTTATAAAAAGTCTGCTGACTGTCTTCTAACACTTGCAGTTTCTTCTTACATTCAGGCCTCTAAGCCACTGGACCACAATTTTTTTTTTTTTTTTGTGGTACCAGGGATCGAACTCGGGTCCTTGCGTTTGTGAAGCAGGCGTCAGAACCACTGAGCTAAATCCCCGGCCCTGGACTAAATTTTTTAAAAATTGTTTTGCTTAAATTTTTTTTCTTTTGAAATAGGCTCAATAATTTGTCTCGGCTGGCCTCGAGCTTGTGACCCTCCTGCCTCAGCCTCCTGAGTGGCTGGGATTATAGGCATGCACTACCACACCTGGTGTAATTTTACATGTATTTTTATTGCACCTGCATGTGACTGTGACCTGTAACGTGAGATCAGCTGTGAAATTTTGTATCTGTAGTATTATGTTGGGACTCAAAAGTTTTAGATTTTGAAGCACTTTAGGTTTCTGGTGTTTGGGTTGGGATGTTCCACTTGTACTCCTTCCTTTTAGTGGCTCAGCCATACTCCATGGTATGGATAAGCCCACATTTTGTTTCTCCACTCATCAGTGGAGGGACATTTGAAGTGTTTCCACTTTTAGCAACTATGAATAATGCTGCTACAAACATTCATGTATACATTTTTTTGTCAACAAATCTTTTTTTTTTTTTTTTTGGTACCAGGGATCAAACTCGGGTCCTTGTGCTTGCGAGGCAGGTGGTGGAACCACTGAGCTAAATCCCCGGGCACATATACATTTTTTTGTGCATGTGCATTTTTAGTTCTCTCTGGTATAAATCTAAGAGTGGAATTGTTGGATTATGTGGTAACTCTGTTTTAAATTACCTCCCACCCCCAATCCCAGTATTGGGGATTGAACCCAGGGCCTGCACATGCTAGGCAAGCACCTTACCACTGAGCTACACCCAGGCCTTTTTATTTTGAGGCAGGTCTTACCACGTTGCCCAGGCTGTCTTGCAATCCTTCTGCCTCAGCCTCCCAAGTAGCTGGGATTATAGGCATGCATCACCACCCCTGGCTTGTGTTTAACTTTTTGATGAACTACCAGTTGGTCTCCAAAAGGCTGCAACAATCTTGACATATGATTTTAAAAGTGACCAGAATATGACAGGGACCACTGGGCATGGTGCCCCAGAGTTGTGGCACGAGGAGCACTGGGCTCCCTGTGGGACCACAGACTCCAGCATCTGGGCCTCCTCTGTGTCCCCTTAGGCCAAGGCCATTCCAAATCCTACCTTAGCTCCTTTGTGCCCCACAGACCCTTCCCCTCCTTTCTGCAAGTCCCTGCATCAGGGGACATCCCTCTGGATGGGGATCCAACCATCTTTTTGTGAAAAGCCCAGGGTAGTGAAGATGGTCACTCTGGTGCCCACGCCACCCATCTCCAGTGGCCGCTGGACCCCCAACCTGAGCCTCTGAGCCCAGAGCACAGCCTGTTTGGCCAGATCTACAGCTCTAGGTCCCAGATCACTGGGCATGGCTCCCAGTTAGTGCCTCTCCTTAGTGCCACCATCACTGGTAGGGCTGGGTGGACCCTTAGCTGCACCTGTGGCCTCAGCACAAGACTGGCGCACTTGAACAGTCCCAGTGGTCTCCTTTGCCAGGTTGCCCAGCTTCCCTGCTACCCCTGGCCCTGGCTCCTTGTGTCCCCGCCTCCAACCTGCTTGTGATGCTGGGTCCCACAGTCACAGAGAGGCCTGTCTGTGGCATTAGGAGACAGCTATTCTCTGTGTGACCTAAGGAGCCACTTGGCTTCTCTGGGCCTCAGTTTCCCCCTCTGTATAATGGGCTGGCCACACTTAACCCCTCAAATTGCCAAAGGAGCCCTTAAGAGAACAGGCCCCTGTGAGCATGGTGTCCCTGCCCGTCAGGTGCCCCTCCAGTGCTGGCCATGCCCAGCCACAGTGCCAGACACTGTCACTGGGTGAGGAGGGGAAGCAGGTGGCAGGCCTGAGCTGCACACTCACGTTTTCACATAGGGGTCCGAGTAGCCGTTGGCGTCCATGGCAGCCAGATGTGCACACCGCACGATGCCCACCAGCAGGCCCTGCTTCTGCGAGCTGTACTTGAGGGAGATAAGGATGCGGCCTCGCTCCTCCAGGGACTTGTCTTCCGTCTTGTCCACCTGTGGGGCAAGCAGTCACTCACTGTTCCTGGCCCTCAGCTGACAGGCCACTGAAGCTGCCTGACCCTGGCCCACTTGCCACCATACCAAAGGCCTTGTCGGGAGCCCCTGGAGAGTGGTCACAGCCTTGTCCTCTGTGGTCTTTCTGCTGTCTCTCCCCTCTGAGGATGCCGCCTCAGGTGGAGTCTGACGCTGCTCTCCCTGCTTCTGCTGCACAGCCTGAAGTGGCTTTCACAGCCCTGCACAGCTTGGCCCATGGCCAAATTGGGCTGGATGCCTGGCCCTGTGTGGAACCTCGCTAAGAGTGGTCTTTACTTTCTTTAACAGTCAAAAAAAAAGGAAAATAGTATTTCATGGCACATGAAAATTATATGAAATTCAACCTCAGTGTCCATTAATAAGGTTTTACTGGAACTCAGCCTCACCCTTCCGTTCTTACTTTACAATGGCAGAGTGAGTAGCTGCAACAGAGATGGTGGGGCCTCACAGATTTGCCATCTGGCTCTTCACAGAGTCTCCCAACCCCTGTCCTGGCACCGGCTGCTTCGGCAGGGGGTCCCTGCTCTGCCCTCTTCACACCTGAGGCCTGATCTTCTCTGAGCTCTGTACCCGGTGCCCCCTCCATGCCTTCTCTCAGGCTGAGTCTGCTTCCAGCGGCCTCCTGTTTCTGAATCTGAAGAACTCCTGTCCCTAGGATGGGGCTTGGCTCTAGTGGCTCCTCCTGGGCTTCCCTGATCCCTGGGCAGTTGGCTGTCCCGCCCTGTGCTGCCCTGTTTCAGCTTCCTCCTGTCACCATGCAGTGTGGCCACCTGCTTCCTCCTGTGTCTGCCCCTAGACTCTTAGTCCCTTGAAGACAGTTTCTACATGTTTTACGTTTATGCCCCAGGGTTGGGTGAGGATCTGGCACTGAGCAGCATCCACGCACCACAGGCTTGTCTTAATGAAGGCGGGAACAGAGGGACAGATGGTCCCTCTGGGTTCAGTTTCATGCCACCTGCTCCAGTCTGAGGCCTCAGAGAAAGGCCCAAAGGTCACCCTGCTGCAGGCCTGCTGGAAGGCAAGGGTCTCCCAATCCCAGTACCCTGGGTCTGGGTTGGCCCCTGAGGAGAGACAGACAGGGCTTTGACCTTTTCCTAGCTTGGGGTAGCTGGGCGCCAGGTAGGGAAACCACCTAGTGCCCTCCCGGTCTCCTAGTGCTTGGTGCCCACCTCAGGGGTTGGACCTCAAATGGCCTGCCATCTCGTCCACCCTCAACACAACCAGCCAATGTGTCGTCTACTGGTCCTCCCAAGATCATGCAGTTCTTCCAGCTGCTGGTCACCCAGAACTCCTTCCCTTATACCTCTGCTCCACTGGCCACCCCAGCTGGAGCCCCACATTCCAAGGGACCCTCTTCAGGACTCTGCAAAGTTCCTCTTTCATGTGGGCCCACTGTGCTCTGCCCAACACTAATGTGAGTCCCATGCAGCCACATCCATACCTTCCTGGAGACGACACTCCAGAAAGGAGCTAATTTTTCAGCCATGGGAGATTATACTTTGGGTGTTTTCTATGAAGAGCTCTGAGCTGGTCATTGTTCAGTACTTAAAACAATGTATACAGACCTTAAACACGAAATGTAACACCAGCATGTCTTTACTGCTGGAGTGGTTATCACAGACTGTTCTCTGAGCTCCATGTGTCCTCAACTGACCAATGAGCTCGTAGCCAATTAAAGCAAGGCTCAGCAATGCCTGGATGCAGCTCTGGGCACAGGCTTGCACACTTTTATGAACAAACACTCTCATGAACACACACTCTTGCATCTATGCATGCGTGCATACACACGCACAGCTGTTTGTTTATGCTCATGATCAGAACTCAGGAACACAACTATTATGGAAGCCAGCATTGTCTTCCTAAGTATGTTAGATCATTTGAAAAAACTAGGTTACCTGCAGTTAGTGACTAATAATAAAATAGAAAAGGTTATATCCATCACACAAATGTCTGTGAGTGGGAGAGAATGTGATAAAGGAATACAATTTCATCAAGTTATGCAAAAAGCTGGGCTCTGGCAGGCAGCTCAGGCCGCAGGCTGACTTGTTGCAAGCCCTAGCTTGGGCTACACAGGCTAAGAATCCATGTCCTGAGGACGCCAGACTCCACCAGGCCGGACCCTTGGGGGGTGGCTGTGAGCTCTGTCCTCCTAGGCATTTCCACTGCTCAGGCCTCGGTGGAGGGACAACGAGTCACTGGCATGCCCTCAACACTGGGCAGCTGAGGGCCAAACACTTCTCTTGGCCCCAGGGCCTGGGGTGTCCTGGGCAACCTTTCAGCTCTTCTGAATGGGGTGAGGCCAAGAGGGCAGGAGAGCATAGAGGGACAGAGACCAGGACCCCGGGAGGGCTCAGCTGCTGGAGCCTGTCAGGGGCAAAATCTCTTCTGACATAATTTTCAAACAATGGCAATTTCTAGGAAAGAATTATGTGCTGTCTCCTCTGGGCTTCTCACAGGCGCTGCAAGTCTGACAAGTTCCAATTGAGCTCCTGAGCTTCGATGCCCCAGCTGCTCCTAGTTAATGGCTGCCTCATCCTCCCAGATGCTCAGGGCCCAGATGTCACATTTGTCCTTTCCCCGCCTGAGGCCAGGTCTGCTGGCACAGCCCATCTAGAGGCATCTCCACCCCAAGCCACCAGCTCCTCCATGCTTGGGCTGCGGTCAGCTCCTTACAGGATCTGGTCTCATCTTCTCCCTGAGCCCTGAATGTCACCAGATACGGTTCCTGTGCTTAGCACCTCTGGGGCCTGGTGTCACTTGGTGGAAGCCCAATTCCTTCCTAACTGCCGTCCCCAACCTCTCTGATCTCCCTTCCCCTGGCTCTCACCACTCCCCTCATTGCTCAGCCCCGTGCCTCCACCAGGCAGGAAGTTCTGTCCATCTCCCACACTTGCAGCCAGGCAAGGGGCAGAGCAGGTGGTCAGTAAACCCTGTAACCCTGCAGAGGTGCGCAGCTGGAGGGAGCCCGAGGCCCACTCACCGGCAGCTGCTTCTCCAGGCAGATGCTGAATGTCTTGGTGTGGTTGGGTTTCAGCTTCTTCAGGGGCACTCTCGTCTCCCCGATGAACTCGTTGTGGCGGAATTTGTCCTCATCACACACAGAGATCCTGGGGGGCAAGGGGTAAAGCCAGTACCTCAGACACACTGGGCACCCCCGATCTTCCTCCATAGTCGCAGGAGTACACGAGTGGTGGGTGTGTTTGTGGAGCAGGGGCTAGGGATAGGCAGCTGGGGGTCTCACGCACCGCAGGGTCTTGCGGATCATGTCCTCATCTGTGATCCCATAGTAAGTGAGGGTCTCGTTCCATGTGGGGTTCAGAGTGTTACGCAGGGTTTTTGTTCTAAGCTTATTTGCCTGGAGAAAGGAAAAAAAATCTTATTAGCACTAGATGAATGCAGGAGGAAGAAAGAGTGTGTCCCACCAAGATGGCCATGTGCTAGGCCCTGGTACCTTGGTCTGACAAGGCAAAGTGGACTGAGGCTACTGTGGAGCAGCTGACTTTAAAACAGGGAGAGCTGGGGGTGGAGCTCAGTGGTACAGCGCTTGCTCAGTATGCTCCAGGCCCCGCTGATCCTCAGCACCAAAACAACAACAAATAAAAGGAGGGTGGAGATAACCCTGGATGAGCTGAGGGGCCTATGTGACCACAGGGGTCCTTAAAAGTGGAAACAGGGACACCAAGGGAGAAGCTCAGAGATGTATCATGTATGGCTTTGAACACGAGGCACCACAAGAAAAGGAAGTGGGTGGCTTCTAGGAGCTGGAAAGGGTCCGAAAAATGGATGATTTCCTACAGCTCCAGAAGGAACACAGCCCCACACATACTTTGATGTTTAAAATTTTGTTTATTTAGTGGCACTGGAGATTGAATCCAGGGCCTTTATACTGAGCTCCATCCCAGTACGTTCTTTATTTTGAGACAGTATCTCACTAAGTCACTAAGTTGCCTAGGCTGGGCTCAAACTTGTGATCCTTCTGCCTCAGCCTCTCAGAGTGCTGGGATGACAGGCATGCAGCACCATGCCTGGTAACACCTTGACGCTTAGCCCAGTGAAACCGTGTCAGGTTTCTAACCTGCAGAGTGGTCAGACAGTAACTGTTGTTTTAGGCCACTGAGTCTGTGGCAGCTGCCACAGCAGTGACGGGAAACCAGTGTGCGGAGGACCCTGGTGGTGGCGGCAGAGGTTGGCTTTGCTAGAAGCTGTGGAAGGTGGTTCCTGCAAAGGCTGGCTGTGGAGCCGGCCACCTCCCTTCCCCTTGTTCCTGCATGCCTATTCCATGCCTTTGTTAAGGCCGTTCCTTCCTCTGGAGTCCATACTGTCCTAAAGAATTTCTTGTGGGTGGCCTGAGCACACTGGAACGTTGCTTCTACTCCCTCTGTACTCCTGTCTGCCTGCTGGGTCATCTGTCATGGGGACAGGGGTTCTGTGGTCAAACAAACCTGGCAGAAGCTGCCCACTCTGTCCCCTAGGGAGGGCACAGAACAACCCAACACATTAAGGGCTCTGATAAGTCCTGCTGCCAAGAAACCTGTTTAACAATGTTTCTCAGTGTTATTTGACCCTGGAACCTCTTTTTACCATATGATATTAACCTCCAGCCAAGACTCCTTCTTTTAAAAAAATGCTGACCTGGAAATTCTCAGGTGGGGCTCCGCCCCTGTCAACAGGTAGGCAAAGCTGGCCCAGGAGGTCCCTGGAGGGCCTGGAAGTGTGGGGCTGACGGTGCTTTGAGTGGGTGTGAATGGCTGAGGTCCCTTCAGCTTGCTTGGGCTCTGGGGGGGCACTGTGGGCCTCCCTGAGTGCCCTGTCACAGTGTGCAGGTCTGGGCAGGAACTCTCACCTTACTGGCTCCTGGCAGCAGATGCAGCTTGACGTAGGGATCCGCCAGTCCATTGTGGTCCATCGGCTTCAGGCCCTGGGTAGAGACCAGCAGAGGGTGTGAACTGGAGATTGGGGCTACAGAGCAGCCAGGGCCTCCAGGAGCCTGGGTCAGCAGATGCCTTCTGACTGGGTCCACTCATGGCCTTCTTCCTGGAAGCCCTGACCCCTCAGCCCCAGATGGGGTGCATGAAGACACTCACTGCCGGTGACGCCTCCCCTGCTCCAGCATCCCGGTCCAGTGTGCCTGCTGGGGGTTGAGAGGGCTGCTTTCTCTTTCTAGCTTCTCTGTCATAGAGGCCAGGTGACTGGCTCTGCTCCCAACAGGAATAACTGTCCGACTTTGGCCAGGTCTTTCCCTCTTCCTTTCCAAACATGGCCCTTCCATGGGGAGTCTCTCCACGAACCTAAATCCATGTGACTCTGCGTCTGCCATCCACACAGCTTCCTTGGTGGCTGTGGGAAAGGGTTCCAGGTCCTGGGAGATGGGCTGAGGCCTGACTCAACTTTCTCTGCAGTGTCCCGAATTCACAGGCTCCACAAGATGGCAGCCCTCACTAACTCTGCTTTCAGATCCTTCTGGAGACCAGGGAGGAAGTACAGTCTGTGTGAGGCAGGGTAGGCAGCCCTCCCACCCTGTCCTGATTTTATTCAGAGGAGCTGCAGGTTTTCCACACAGCTGTGGAGTGGGGGGTCCACCAGACCCAGGCTCCTCCCCTGCCCCAGTGCCTGGCTTTGGGGTCTCATCCTGCTGGAGGCTGCCACCCACCACTCATCTACTGCTGGGAGGACACAGGTTGGCCTGAGATCAGAGCACAGCTGGGTGAGCTGCGAGTTACTTTGTGTCCTCAGCTTTATGGTCTTTAAGACAGGGTATTAACTCCAACTCTGCATGGAGCAGAGGGGAGGAGGTAACACAGACACAGTACTGGCAGGTGGGGAGTTTCTTCCCTTCCCCGAAACGCCAGGAGCCCTGGAAAGTGCCAGGGATGTCACCACGGGCCGGGGTGGGGGTGTCTGAGATCTCCGGCAGACCCTCACCAGCTGAATGTGTCTGCTAGAGACAAAAACTCAGGCCAGGGTGTCCTGGAAGGGGCTGCAGGGAAGGTGATGCAAGCAGCCCCTGGCTGCTACTGGCACCGAGGGGACGGAAGGCACTGGCTCTGAGAGCAGAGCCTCCTCCCAGAACCCAGGCCTGCCGTCCCTGGGCCTCTCAGAGGTGGTCACTGGTGAGGGGTTCAGGACAAGAGTCCCTGAAATCCTCAGAGCCACGGCCTGCAGCGGTCAGGAAGTGGGATTCCACACATTGCACTGACAGGCACGGCCCGGGGGTGTCAGGCTGATGAAATAAGCCAGGCTCGGAGGGACTGCACTGCAGGAGCCCACTCCTGTGAGGCCCCCAGTGCACTCAAACTCCTAGGGACTGAGGAGTAGTCAGGGCCTGGGAAGGGGGAAGGGGGAGCTGCTTAATGGCTCCAGAGTTTCAGTTTTACAAGACGAAAAAGTTCTGGAATTGGATATTGGTGTAGTTTGCACAACAATGTGAATGAGATTAATGCTACTACACTGTGCACTTGAAAAATGGTTACGGTGATAAATTTTACACTTATATATTTTACGACGGTTAAAAAAAACAACTAAGTCTCCCAGGACTGTGGTTCTGTCGGGTTTTCCCAGGCCCTCCTCAGATGGGAGTGGCCGGGTACATTTGGGTGTGTCCACGAGGTCAAGTGGGCACGTGCCACCAGACTGCCAGGTGCCCACTGCCCACAGCAGCCACTTGGGGCAGGGGTGACGAGGCCCATTTTCAGGTGAGTGAGCTGCGATTCACCCTCACCCAAAGGCTACAGCCAAGGAGTGTTTGCCACCCCCTTCCTCACAGAGGCACAGAGTGTTAGCTCTGCTTCAGAGCCTCCCTGGGGCTCCCCACCCTCAGCTAGAGCCCCCTTCCCTGCAGAGCTGGATTTATGCAGAGAAGGAACAGGAGAATCGGGCTGCCTCGGCTTAGGAGTCTCCCATCTCCTACCTCTGATGTCTAGGGTTGCCCCTGAAGTGGACACACTCGTGTACCTACATAGGTCTGCTCGCACACACCCACGCACACATGCGCACGCACACATGTACACAAGGACATCTGGGGATGGTGGGGAAGGTAGGGAGAAGCCCTGGTGTCTGGGAAGGTGAGGGGAGGTGGCTCTGGCCCCAGTGGCCGGGCAGATGGTTTCCACGTCTGGGCAAGCTCTACAAAGCTGGGTAGAGGGAGAGAAGGGTCTGACTGCCTGGCCTCCACCCTGGGTGGGGGTCACCAGGTGCTCAGCTCTATTCTCAGGATGGCTGTGGGCAGGGTGGGGGATGGAGAGAGTGGCCTTGAGGTGCCCAACCTGGGCCTGGCCCGGCACAGACAGAACTCACACCTGCCCACGGCAGTCTACGTGTAGTGACCCAGGCTGGGGTGATCCCCGATGGCCAGTCCCTCAGGGTTGGTACAGAGGCACAAGGTGGAAGCAGGGGCGCCAGCAGGTTGGGGTGCTGGGGTGGGGTCTGGGCCCAGGCAGCTCTATAGGAAGCCCCTCCATCTGAGCTGGGCTGGCCCAGGCCCTTCCACAGCCCTATGGGGGCGCTCTACTGGCCACGAGGGCCCTTACCTTGCGAGAGAACATCAGCTTTGGCACCTTCCTCCCAGAGGGAGCCATCATGGTGGGGGACAAGGGAACAGCACGGGTGAAAACACAGCTGACATGCTGCTCAAGGGGCTGAGACACAGGCCACAGTGGGGACCTGGCCAGGCCACCAGGGAGTTCATAGACACCCACAACCGCAGAAAGCAAGGCTCAAGGGACCTTCTGGGGTCAGGCCCAAAGGCTAATCCTCTGCCTAGAGTGTCAGCCTTCTTCAGTGGCACCTGCAGCATTAACACAGGACAGTTGTGCCCACCCACTGCTCAGGGAGCCTAGAAGCCCAGGGCCTGGGAACATGGGGTGCAGAGACCCCTAGCCATCAGCATCCACCCCTCACACCCTCCCTCGCCTGCAGGACAGGTCTTCCCATCCTGGACAACCCCTGTCCCCTAGAAGCCCAGCCAGGCCTCCTCCCCTAAAGGCCTTGCTGTATTGAGGTTTTTTGGGGAGTGGGCAGCTGAGATGGTTTAGGCAAGAGCTCCCTGCTTGTGCTGCACTCCACACAGCAGACACCATGATGCCTGGGAAGGAAGGCGGGGAGGATGGGCCCTCACTCAGCTCTTCCTCTCGGCCTGGGGCCGGTGGGGCACGGGGCCTACCTTGGCCTTGCTGATGGTGCAGTGGAGTGCATTGTTCTCCTGGTCGTACAGCAGGCTGAAGTCCAGTGTGCCCAGGGCGGCTGTGGATGGAGAGGGCACAGGTGACCTCTGGCTGCATGTCTGAGAGGCATTGCCCTCCCCTTCGTGGCTAGAAGAGCCACACCATTTTTTGTTTTCTTTTTTCAAGATTCAAAAGATTAATTTGGAAAAATTGGCACAGGACAAAGACATTCTTCATAATCCTTCTCAGAATCTTTGAATATGCAAAGCTTCATAAAAGGTAGGCAGAAAAGCAGCAACTCTGATTTCACAGAACATCAAAGGTTTACACAAATTAAACTCCTGTGCCTGCCCCCCACATACTGCTCTTGCCACCCCTTATGGACACAGCTGACACCAAGCTTCTATCTTTGGGGCTGCCAGGCAAACTGAAAAGCACAATCATTTTCGTTTCTAAATGGCTGGAATTAGTTAAAGCAACCCAAGTATTACTGTCACAGCAAAGCTTAGCAAAACCATCCAAGGGTACCACTAATAGCATTTTAAAATTATCCAGATGATATCCATATTGAGACTGAGAATCGGCACCGATTTCCCAGTGCTGTGACAGGCACCCTGAGGTATGCTCTGGGCACAGGCGCACATCCACATTTCCCAGGAGGAGCCGGGCCACCGTTTGCTCTCCACAGAGCTCCTGAGCAGAGGGAGGTGGGGGCCCAGGCATGGCTCAGTGGTAAAGCCCTTGCCTGGGGTGAGCGAGGCCCTGGGTTTGATCCCCAGCCCTGCAAACAAAACAAAAATACAAAAACCTTGGCTGGGTGTGGTGCCTGTGGGAGGATGAGGCAAAAGGACTGTAAGTTAGAGGCCAGCATGGGCAATTTAGTGAGATCTTGTCCCCCACCCCCTAAAAAGGCTGAAGATGTAGTTCAGTGTGAAGGTCCTGGGTTCAATCCCCAGTACTAGAAAACAAAACAGCCAAACAGCCTCAAGTTTTACAAAAGAAAAATTTCAGGTCTACATACATTAACAATAAAACCATTTCTTCTAGGTAACAGGTCAAAGTATAAAGGCATATCTCTAATTATTTTTTTTAATAGCCAGGAATCAAAGAATGTCATAGAATCTAGGGTGACAGCCACCTACTGAGCAGCTATTAGTGTGCCAATCTTGCCCCCCATTCTCCCAGCCCGCCCAACCCCAGGAGGTGACCATGTTCTTCTCACTCTCCAGAGCAGGGACTGAGGCTCAAGGAAGCCAGGTGGGTCACCTCCAGCCCCTGCAAGTGGCAACGGAGCCCCACCCAGGCAGTTGGCCCTAACCCCTGTCTTAGCCCAGTAGGGTGTCCACATGTACTAGGCACCTTGTCCTCCACTGCGACTACCAGCTTGGGCTCTGTGCCTCAGTTTCCCTCACTTACGAAATGTCATAAGAACTGTGTGGCAAGGCAGAGATGGGGCTTTGAGAAGCTGCAGGCCCTGGGTGGCCTGACTGGCTGGTTCATTCACTTGACCTTCAGGTTGGCACATGGGACTACCGCTCCCTGGTCTCTCTGGCCCCTTGGGCACCCTGGACAGGCTGCAAAGACCCAGCTGGGTCCTCATGCTGCTGCCCTCAAGTCTCTCAGAGGCAGCAGTGATTTCCCAAGGGCCAGGCAAATGGGGCAGCAATAACTGGGTGCAGCTGCCACCCTTAGGGGCCATCACACACAGCAGCTGTGGCCTTCCACACCCAAGTGGGCTCCCAGCAGGAAGGGGAAGGGGGATTGGTGGAAGAAGACCTTGGCATGACCCCAGATAGCAAGGCACAATTCCCAGATGTTTCAGAAGCCTCAATCCTGCTCCCAAGCTGCCGGGCTGGTCAACTGATGTCTCATTCATTCATCCACTCACCCATCCACTCATTCATTCATTCTTTTTCTTTTGCTACCGGGGATCGAACTCAGGTCCTTGTGCTTGCTGCTGCGAAACCACTGAGCTAAATCCCCGGCCATTCACTCATTCTTTATTTACCAAGTGTTTACAATCTGCTAGACTCTTGGGATGAAGATAGCTATAAGGCATATCCCTGACCCCAAGAAAAACACAGCCTATGGGGAACAGACAAAGAACTTGTCACAACAGTCCGGAGAGTCAGGAGTTATGGCTGCTCAAGGACAGACGCCTGGCCTTGCTATGCACTGGGGCCATCAGGAGAAGTTTCCGGGAGGAAGTGGTGCCTCACCTAGTCCAATAAAGATCAGAAGGGGTTGGCCAGTGGCACAGAGGGGCTGGGAAGGGGACATACCAACTGGGAGGTGGGGGCTTAGTGGCTAGAGTGATGCCAGGATTGGGGGAGGGGCGGCCCCGAGACTCTGTCCTCAGGCAGGGTCTGCGCTAGATTCCAAGCTCAGGTCTGGATTAAGTGTGGCCACTGGCCAGCCCTGACCACGGCCATCACATACTTCTCGTCTACAGCTGCTTTCCCACAATTCTGCATAGACCGGATGGTCTGCAAAGCTGAACATACTTCCTCTGTGGTGCTTCACAAAGTTTGCAGACCCCTGGGTCAGTGCAGGGGCCAGGGCTTGACGAAGTTCTGCAGCTCTGCAGGGAAAAGGGCCAACTAAGGGACTGAGGCTCGGAGGAGCTGGGAGGGTGGAGCTGCCTTTTGTTCTGAGATGACTTAGAACTGCATTTGTCTTGTTCCCTAGGTCCTACCAGAGTGAGACACACAGGGGCAACATCCGATGTTGGGTTCCCCAGGTTTGAGTCCCTGCTTGTCTCCCCACCACCTCTCTCTCTTGAGACAGGGTCTTGGTATGTAGTCCAGGCTGGCCTGGAACTCACTGTGTAGCCCAGGTTGGCCTTGAACTCACGGCGATCCTCCTGCCTCAGCCTCCTGGGTACTGGGATCACAGGTGTGTGCCACCTGGCACTTCTTGCTATGTGCACTCTGACAGCTTATCTAACCTCTTCATGCCTCAGTTTCATCATGTGGGAACTGGAGACAGCAGGAGTATCCACCTCACAACACTCAGCACCTGGGGTACAGCAAGTGCTCAGCAGATAATTAATTATAGAAGGGACAGATCCATTTAGGTCATGTTTCTAGATTACTGTGCTGGCCCCTCAGAGACCCACTCTGGAAGAAATCTGTTCTAAACTGGATCACGCCTCTCCCTGCCCTTGGCAACAGAATATACAAATGGTCACCTAAGCTCTTCTGAATAACCTGAGTCATTGCTATGACTATGGTGATTCTGCTGCGTGTCACAGCCATAGCTCGACCCTCCAATAGGTGCCCCCAGCTGGTCCCTCTCCCTTTCCAGCAGCCCAAGTTAGAGTACTTGCCTCTGGCAGCCCAGCTTCAATTCTATCCAGCAGTAGTTTCTTCCATGAAAGCACGCAATGATGACATTTGTTAGCTCTTGTCCAAACTAAGAGTCAGTCAGTCCAGAGGGAGCCTAAGGGACTCCTGAGCAGATAATGCGTGCTCCAGTGCTAACTGTATCTGGCCTTTTGCTGCCCTTACCCCTCCTGTGAAGGGGGCTGGGGGAAGCACACGATACCATTCCCGATGCCACAAGAGCCCGGGGCCCAAGACTCACCTAGCTCTGTGTGTGTGTGGTACAGAAGATCAAATCCACAAGGACTCTGCCACTGAGCTACACCCACCCCAGCCCCTTTTTTATTCTGAGAAAGAGTCTCACTCAACTGCCCAGAGAGGAGTTGTACCTGCGATGCTCCTGGCTCAGCCTCCTCAAGTGCTGAGATTACCGGCGTGTGCCACTGTGCCCAACAGACTCACCCAGCTTTTGGAATAACATTCTTCAAATCTGTTGGTTGTATGTGGCAGTCCATCAGGCTGCCCCTCGGTCCAGACCCACCTGCTCCCCTGAGACCTTAGCCTCCAAGAGCCCCTAGGGACCCTGCCTTGACCACACCCGTGAGACCAGCAAGGAGCAGGCGCTCACCCACTTGGCGGTGTTGCTCACCAGGGAGCAGGGTTTAGGAGACACCATGGGGAAGAACACACTCCACGAGGCCTGCCTGCTCCCACAGGGAAGCAGCTCTAGAGGGCCCCTGGCACGCTCTGGGGGTTCCTGTCTAGGGGGCTCACATGCTACCAGGGGAAGGCTGACACCTGCTAGGGCCTCCTGGGAAGGAGCAGCACTCCGGGGACTGACCAACGTGTCTGAGCGCCCTGGAAGATGTGGGAGAAGTACTAGTTTACCAGTGGAAGCTTTGTCTCAGTTCTTAGACTTGCAGGGGCGGAGGGGCTCTCTCAGGGAGTGTATGTCCTAAGTGTTCCCTTCTTGTCTGGAGAAAGGAGACTCAGAGAGGTGAGGTGACTTGGTCAGGGCGGCCCAGCAGAGTGGGAGTTTCTGCCTTAAAGCCTAGTGGCTTCCTGACTGTTTGCCACTTTGTTTAACTGAAATCCTAGGAGGCAATAACCATGAAAAAAGAAAGAAGCAAAGCAAGCTTAGTGAACGGAGGAAGAGCAGGTCTCCAAGCCCCAAAGACTAAGGATGGTTTCAGCATGCCTAAGGATTCTTGGCTGAAGAGCTGAGATAGGAACCCGGGTTCCAGCAAGCCTTCCCAGGCTGGTACAGGTACCGGGAATATGAGCCAGGCCCCATCAGTTATGCAGCATAACCAGCCAGGTACCCAGTGGAGTGATTCTGAAGCTACGTTTTTTTAGCCATATCCTGTCCAACCGGGGTTTAAGATCTCTACATTTTACTACTCCAACTTCCAGGACCAAGAGGCCTACCAAGGAGACAAATACCACACTGTCCTGAACCCCTTGGGCTTCCTTAACCTTGGCATCAGTGAGAACAGGCTGTGTGTGGATCTGACTGAAAGGTTGTGTCAGAATGACATGAACTACATCGAGGAGCCCCTGCTGCATTACCCCAACTGGAGAGGACATCCGTTTCTATGGGCAGAAGTGGCCAAGTTCCTGACCTACTACTGTGGATCACCTAGCCGCCTGAATCTGAGAAATGTGGTTGTTCTAAATAGCTGCTGTGCTGTCTTCTCTGCACTGGCCATGGTTCTGTGTGACCCAGGGGATGCCATTGTGGTCCCCACTCCCTTCC